CCCCCCCCCCCCCCCCCCCCCCCGCTCTCATCCCTGTTCTATTGATGCATTCTGGCATATCTGAGACCCTTTACGTATTAATTTTTACAGGCCTTGGTGATGGCATTTGGTGTAGGATTGGGATCCATACCTTGGATCATAATGTCTGAGGTATAACAAAGCTAATCTATAGTTCAGGAGACCAGGAAAAATATATTTTCCTAAACATAATTAAAAATAGAGCATAGATGAAACTTGTAACATTCTCTGGAGAACGTGGTTGAGAAATTTGAGGAAAACTAACATAAAGATCACCCATGTTAAAGGTGATGATGTTAGTTTTAAAGGAAGATCAAGCATTATTGCAGGTTTCTTTAACATATTAAGTAACTGCCAGGACAGATTTTTGGTTCAAACTTTCTTCCTAGAAAATATTCTTACTGAACTTGAGATGTTCTTCAAGGACACTAGCATAGGTTTTATGATTCTCTTTATTTTTGGGGATTCAAGAGCCTCACTGCTCTAATAAATAGCCCTATTGCATGACAATAGGATGAGTGTTCTGTTTACCATCTCTTGAGACATCAAGTTTTTAATTGGTTGTGCAGATTCTGCCTGTAAGCATCAAAAGTCTGGGTGGCAGTGTTGCAACTTTGGCCAATTGGTTTTCAGCATGGATTGTTACAATGACAGCAAATTTGCTTTTAACTTGGAGTAAAGGAGGTTTCTCTCTCTCCGTTTCTCTATTGGTATTCGCACCATGCTTGGAGTGACTCTAAAGACTGTAAATTTGGCAGGAACATTCGCTATCTATGCACTGGTATCAGCTTTTACGGTGGTTTTTGTGAGGCTTTGGGTTCCAGAAACCAAAGGAAAAACACTGGAAGAAATTCAGCAGTCCTTCAGATGATACAAAATAAAATTGCAGTAAGAAATGGAACAAGTGATGCAATTCCAGCCTGACTGAAAACTTGTTTTGTTCCACTTTACCATGGACCACTATATATTGTCTTGTCCAAGAAGTTCTTCTCGTGTACTGCTAGTGCTTATGGAGCTAACATCTGCAATTTGCAATATATATTTGTATATATTTGTTTAAGACAACAATTTCAAATTCTGAACCCAAATTACATAGTAACTAATATTACAGAGGAAACACATAGTTGTTTTCCTTTTCGTAGACAAAAAGTTGCATGATATTACGATAGTGAACTTTGCAGTACTGTCCTTCACTTTTGGCCTTTTTCTGCATGCAGGGATGTAAGGAACTGCTTGAGACACTTGTTATAAACGCAAGGTCGTTCTAGGTGAACCAGATGGCCTGCCTTGTCTATGCCATGAAATGTAGTCTTCTCACCCAGTTGACTGTCATCAAGTAATGCAAAACAATCATCAGGTTTATTCAAATTCTCTGTGGCACTTGTATTAAATTATTATTGATGTAGTAGTTTGAATTATATACACGGGCCATATATCAAAATGGTGCATTACTGAACTACTTATTACTATAACTTCTATGTAAATAAGTTTCTGATGTGAGATCTTGTATACTACTCTTGGAGCTCATATGTTTGTTTGAGTTTATAATGTAAGGGCATGTCAAGCCTGAAAACTTACTGTTTCATGTTCTGAGCAAGCTCCAAATTGAAAATTTGATCATTCTCACCCCAGAGGAGATGTATTCTCTGTCAAAAAAAATGGAAAAAGCACTCGATATGTTTCCTAGTTCTTTGTGTGAAATATTGAAGAGTAGAACTCACGAAATTCCAATTACCTGTGGAAAATTTGGAATAGTTGTGTCTTTGTTGCTCACCACCAAGCCTTCTAGCAGCTCTCCTCTTTCCTTTCTGTTGGTGAACATTACCTGACATATTGCCAAGTGAGGGAATAAGATCCTTTGCTTCGGTTAAAACTTTACATTTTAGATATGAATCACAACGATGACATCAATGTTGTTTCATACTCGTATTAATATAAATACAAAAATTCCTCCCCAGGATTATATATCTTTATCTCACCAAGCTATGTACTTACTCTTTTAATATTATCGAAAGAAACTTGAGAGACATTCAAGAATTTGGTTAAGAAACTTCGAATTTCATTTGTCTTGCACTAACGGGTTTGAAATTGACGAAGTGACTGAATAGGGCTTTTAGTCACTTGGTTTATTCAAGTCATTGGCATATATATGTATGAATTTTTTTTTAATATCAGCACTTTTGATATGTCGATAAAAATTTAGTTATAAAAGAAGAAGATAGTTGGTCGTAAAACGGTAAAAGCGGTTAGGTGTAGTTGGTTGAGCGAACTGACAGTGATGTCAAGAATGAAACATATGGCTGGATGCCATGTGTAATAATGAACTCACAAATTATGCAAGTCTACGTGGTGCCCCCCATTTTTTTTTCTTCTTTGTTGACAAATGTGTAAAATGTTGCAAATCTTCAAGTTATGGCCTTGTGGGAAAATGTATGGTATAATTTCGTCAACTTATTAATGAATTCAGTTGGGCTTAAAGTCTCCTCTCTTATTTTCTCTGTCTTTCCCTTTTTTGTCTTTTGTTGGCGAAGAAAAATAGTTAAAGACTTTTACTGTTGTATATAATATAATGATGCCTCTACCAAACTTTCAAAGTATGAACAATTTTGTTTGCCATTAACTGATTCAGTGGAGAGCATTAATGCCGCGCGTAATTATATACTATGCTGTGACAACAAACTAACTACTGTAATTAAATTTGTACACTGATAAACATGAAGAATTCACGTCCGAATTTACATGAAAAACGAAGTATTTTGATTCTCATGATCGATCCATGTGAAACAGAGAGAGTTGTGACTTTTGTTATATTCATGCAAAGAAAAGAAAATGAATAATTGATAAATAAACTAACCTCGAGAAAATCTCTATGAAGACGATCAGGGAACCAAAGCTTCTTATAAGCAGCAACTTTTAGCAGGGCCTTAAGACCCTTAACAGAAGTAGGCAGCAGCAGCTCCGACGAAGACGAAAATCCCAAACCATTAAGCGTCGTAGTGCTAATCGAATCAGTCATCGCCAATATCGATCCAGACACCACCAACGCCTCAACTAAATCTGGAAACATTTCCGCCATCTTAAACGCCACCATTCCTCCATAACTAAATCCAACCACTACGCAATTCTCCACGCCCAATTTCATCAGCCCTTTACCCAAACACTCTGCTTGAAAACCCGGGGATCTATCGGAGCTATCCGTAACTGATCCGCCGAAGAAAAGTAGGTCCGGTACATAAACAGAGTATTTTTTAGTTAATGCACCGATTTGAAATTGCCACGTCACTATTCCTTCGCCGGCGAAGCCGTGGATTAGTACGACTACGGGTTTGTTCGGGTCGGGTTTGGTGGTGGATTCAGGGGAAATAGCACATTGATTGTTGGAGAGAGGAGTAGTGGTTGTGCTTTTTTTGTTTTTCTTTGTTTTTTGAATTATGGTTTCAGAAGGAACCCAAAAATTCATAATTGTGCCTGGTTCTATCTCTATACTATGAGGTCTGATTCCAGCTAATTTCATTAGGCCATGCAACAATGGCTTCTGTGCTTCTACCAAGTTCACCATCTCTTTTGAAGAAAAATGTAATTTCTTGTGTGTATGGAGGAATTAAGGAGAGAGGTGAAGTGGAAGAGATGAGAGCGGAAGGGGATTTTTAAAGTAAGGTTAGGTGTTGAGTTGTTATCTGCTGTTCGTCATTAAATGTAACAAAGCTTATATTATAAAAAATTCAATGACCAAAGAAGATGCAGTTGGTATATATAGTTGCATCTACTTCTAGATGGATGCTATAATTCTATTCTTAAGTGCATCTCTGTGAACTAGTTGACGTACTTGTATCATCTTCCTATACAGTAAACGACTAATAAACAACCCCAAGACCCACAAACCAAAACAAGAAAGAAAGAAACAGAGGACCACTACTAGCTCCGCCTCGAGTGTGAAAAGTCTCTTTATTATTATGAGTTGAACAATCGTCACCTCTAGAATAAGACCCAAAATTCATTTTTTTTTATTAAGAAGCATTTTAGGATATAATAAGTCAGTCACAACATGGCCCATATAGTTGCCTCTAAAAAGGCCCTAAAACCCCAATCTTTTGTGGTGAGTGGTGACCAAATGAATTTCCAACAATGATCGTATTTCTTGTATTGGACATTTTTTTGTTTTCGACGTTCACTATTCGTATTTCAAGTTCAAGTAAACTCCCTAAAAAAGAAGATATCATACTGCAGAGCTTGTTGATTTACTCCAATATAGCTCAAACCCAAAACTTATGTTCAAGGATAAACGTGACGATGAAGTACTTATCATTTCACTGTAACTTTTGTCAGTTGCATGCCGTGAACATTGAGTATTTGCCTTGCTATGATAGCATATAATTATGATGAATTGCATATTGCAAGTTGAAATAATGCTGTGGCCGCAATTCACGTTTAATAAGAACCAAAATATGATATTGACAAGTGACAACCATATATAGTAGGTAGTTCAATGAAGAGGGCCTTTTGACTTCAATTATATTATTAAGTGAAGTCTCATTCATTTTAGCTAACAAGTTTATCTTGCATTAAAATGAGGTGAACTACTTCATGATAAAACTTGAATCTACCTTAGAATTTATCAAATTACTCCTTATTCTTACCTCTAAATTAGATATTTTCTCTTCTTCAAATCTAGCTATATATGACTATCAACTCTTTATCTACCATGCTACTATATTTTGGTCTAACATCCAATTCAAGTTCACATAATTTTTCTTGTGCTGGTTAAGAGTGATAGTGGAACGCTTTATCATCAAACCTCTACTACGTCTTCATATACTTTTTTTTTAAATGATATCTACCAATTTGACATAAGAAAAATATTATTGTTACGGCGCAGTAATCATGGAACTTATGCAATTTGCCGACGTACGTACTTTGTCCCATTTTTTGAGTCAATTGGAAGGCATACAATTTATGTAGGACGTAGGATGCATGTATCCACTCGCTTAATTTTAGACAAATTTAAGTATTAACTGGAGCACACCTAAAGTTGAAGAGCACAAATGTCATCATCTATGACCAAGTTAGAGAATATGTTTGTGTATTATGTCTATACATATAAATCTATACGCTTAGTTGAATGGGATATGTATATGTTGATTGAATGGGACATACAGATGTTGAAAGAGACTTCTAATGCAAGTATTAATTATGATCATTTGCCAAGAGAAAGTGATGCTGAATCTTGTTGGAGAAAACTGTCAAGATTTAATGCTTATACACTTCAACCAACTTTTTGCATACCTCCCTACCAATACATATAACAATAATAATAATATATTAGTATATCTTATTTTCAAGATTTCATATTCTACGATAAAAATGTTTATCTATGACTATCTGTTGAATGACTTCATACAATGATAGTAAAAAAATGTTTAATTTACACCGACGATTCTGTGTAAAACATATAGTAAATCCATAAAATAAACGTACCAATTGAAACTTCACTTTTTAGTCTATTTGACAGAATCTAATTAGAGATATGTTTATGCCTTGGAAGAAACGTGAAAGCAATTAGCCATGTAGCAATTGAAGTACTTCCTTCAATTATTAAGCTGTGGTACGTAAAAATATATCAGTAGATTGATTAAGCAAAAATTAAGGACATTTTTTAATGGTACACTTGGACAAATAATGGGGATTTCTTGCACGTCATTTTACATATTTTATGGCCTTGATGGGGTCAGTTTACTGTTGAACAATTTATTATTAATTGAATGCTGATTAATTATTTGTCTTCCTATACAATACAAAGTTTGTTTAAATTTTGATCAACCACACTGCCTACTTCCGACCCACATGCACCGATCCCTTTCATTTGTGTAGACTTTTTTTGGGGTATAAGA